GCTAGGATGAATGCAATTTTTATTCTTTCTATCCATTTTTTCCTTCCACTTATTTTGCATTATATCCATTTTTACATTTATATTTACTCTTTGTTTATCAATTTTCTTCTGTGTCTTGATAGGCCCTTCGCCAGATGACACGCGACAAACTGGTCCTGCTACTTTGTATTACCACTTTCCTCTCCTATCTGCCGGAGGCTGGGGAGTACTCCTGTTTCTTTGTATATCTGCGATTGGTGAGAAAAATTTCTATAAAAAGGCCAGCTCAAGAATTAAAATTATATCTTCTGGTTTAGTCATTCTTCTAAAATAAATTCAACGATCATTTGTAAACGGGTAAATCTGGGCAGAACCTGGTTTGAACTTGAGACCTTATCAAGACCTTTGCACAACCACTGTCTGAGTTTTATCTTGCAAATAGTGCGTTTGTTATACATGTCCTTATTCCCCCAGCACATGGGCAATGCTTATTTCACACAATTTTGACCCTTTATCAAAGAAGATAATTTTTGCTTAACATTTTCACATATTGCGTGATTACCTATCTCTATCTAACTGAGTTATTTAATTTTAATTGGTTATTGTTCTTTACTCACAAGACTACGTTGGCTGCTCATTTTATACAATATTAGAGAGGTCTCAAGTCTATGACATAAAAATAGCCTCTCTTAGTGGTTTAGAAGGGCGTTGCCATTTATCTCGATCATGCGCATACTTTTTGTCATAAAGCTTGCGCTGTCATTGCTCAATATTCGGAGTATGTCTTGGGAATCATCATTTTTACATGCCTCTATGAGAATTGAAATCAGTTTTTTATTCGTATGTCTATGTTCCACTCTCTTTTTACTCGTATTTATCCATCTAAAATGCTCTTATACACGCATACAATCTTAAGATATTTTCCTTAGAATCATCATAAGTGCTTTCTTCTAATTGATAGCAAGTTCAAATTAAGAAACCTTCTTTGATAAGTGGTTCATCGACCTATACAAATGAAGTAATTTCTTAGTACCAGGAGCAGCTGTCATTAAAAAATTCATCCTTTTAGCCAAAATTACCTACCTCGAGTTCGTTCAGAATTTACTCGTTTTTTTTCAATCAAAATTAACTCATCATTCAGGACATTTATATGCATTTATAGAGTATCCATACCTTTTCCGTATTACTCTTGACGATTCCAGATCATTTCGCTTGGTAGCTTATCCTCACATTTTCCCAGATTGGTACTACAATAATTGATCCAGATGTTACAGGAATGTGTCAAATGAATGAAATTTTATTCTTATTTGGAATATATTATGTTGAGAAAATGGTTTAGAATAATCCCTTAATAGATTTATGTTAGAGGACATTTCATTTCGTTTAAGAAGTGAGTGGAAGGGATTCGGGAGTTGGTCTCATCGGAAGCTGTAGAGGGATTGCCTTGGAGATGTGACTGTAAATTTGTTCGAAAAGGTCCTCGGTGCACCGCGCTGAGACCCCGATGAATCATTGCTGAGCATGCTTCCATCATGTGACATGCTTTATGATAATTCACCGAACACAATAACAAGAAAGGTGGCCGGCTGCAATCCTACCCATTTTTTTCTAGCTAGCCAGGTTGACTTAGTGAGATATCTCATGATTTAGTTGGGAATATCTTATGCTTTTTCTGCATTCTGTTGGAAAGTGAAGTGGCTGCGGATGAAGCGTGAAACGGAGGAAATTGTGACCGAACAGCCGCATCCTCTCATAAAACACTTACATTTTTTATCCTGCAGCTTTGCCGCATGGGATTGTATTCCATTGCACGTGTGTTGTGTGCATTCAATGTTCCAGAGACGCGTGGGGTTTGGGAATGAAAACCAGATTTGAGACTAATAAAGCCTCATCCTCTTGCTTATCGGCGTTTTCTTATTCTTTCTCTAATCCCATCCAACATTCACAAGTGGTTTACACTTAATTTCCTACACTCATTCTTCCTATTCACGGTGTTGGCTGTCTTGTTGATTTCTATATATTCCCTAATCTTCCAACTAAGCGTTTGGCATTAGACCATTATATCTGGTGCCTGTGTAGGTATCTGTGTCCAGATAGTTCTGAATCCTGAACTCGCAAAGTTTGCATGCCCGATTTGGAAACTGGGTCTACGATTTCCCGAAAAGATGGTACTGCTGAGGATAGGGTAATTTTATCCTTATATATTGTCCTAATGTCCCACTTCTTCAGTAATTCATCTATCTTTTTTCAAGAGTATTTGGACTACTGATGGGATCTCTAATCTCACCTCTCTTGGCAAATGAGTACATGTACAAGTTGGACAGGGAATTCGATCAGTCCCGACTGCAAGCAAGAGTGCTATTGAGATACTTGGATGACTACTTTGCACTTTGGTCACATGCTAAGGAAAATGTAAATGAATTCCTTAATTTCATTAACCAACTTGATGAAAGAATTAAATTCACAATGGAGGCGGAGGAGAATGAACGATTACCCTTTCTGTATACTGAAGTCATGCGCTCCAACGGGACACTCTAGGAGACTATACAGAAAGTATTCATATGTAGGAATAATCCTTAATTTTTAATATCACCATAACTACAAACTGAAGATAGCAATGCTGAGGAGCTTGCCCATCAGAAGCTTACGACTAATGGACACTGAGTTCTGAGACGAGGAGTTCCTTACTAACGTATACCTTAGAGAATTAATAGAAAAAAACTGTAGAGGTTATAAAGGGCTGATTTCAACTTAGATTTTATGAAAATCAGATCAGGAATCAGGATGACAACCAAAAGTGAATTTGTCTGCCCTCATCAGAACTGAGCCAACAATTGCGACCGCTACTAAAGAAATGCAATATCAAGGTGATAAGAAAGGAGAATAAAATACTTTTTACTAGGCCATGGCAGAAGGGGATATACTAAAATTGTTTAGCACACGTTTGGTCAAAGGATCGGCTTTACTTGTCTCTTTGACGAGCTGTAATATGGTGCTACGAATGGCAAAACTCACTGACGATGTTGGCGAAACGTCTGGGAATGTACCACGTCCACGGTCCGACTTTGGAAATGATTATGCATACAATGGACTCTGGACAAGGTGCGTTCTTCTAACTCTTCCTACCAATATGACAAAGTTACGAAAACAATGTCAAATAGCTTCTATCGTATATTATGTTGTCCTCTCTGATGATGCCAGTCACATTTCGGACGAAAGCCCAGCAAGTATTCATCAGGGTCGCAGACGATTTGCCGAGGTCCCCCTATCCCTTCCACTCGCCTCTTTACTCGTAAACGAAAGTTACTCGCCTGGAATTAATTATGCTTTAACTACCCTTTCATTTATTTATTGTCGTGCTTGCTAACTAGGGTTCAATAAATATTGCTTTCAGCATTTATTTCTATCCTTATTTTAGCTTAAATGCCCCTGTAAGTACTTCCATTTTATTTTAGGTAATCGGCTTTTCTGAAGAAAACGTCGCTCTTTTTATTGCCTTCATCGGACTTCTTTCCTGCTTTGCTCAGGTAACCTTTCTGTTAACCCTTGCCCATTGTCCCTTGTTTACATCAACCTTTCGAATTTCACTATACCTTTCTTATACCCCATTCTTTTTTCGTTAGCATGCTTTTTTATCTTGTTATCTCCAAACGAAAATTTTTATTCTGATGTGTGTCAGCGCTTTATGATATACTTTTTAATAGCTTTCTCCTCATTTTCAATGTCACACTTTGCTATGCGTAAAATGGGTGGTTGCTACAAATGAAAAATCGAGAATTCTAAAATATCGTTGATTCATACTGCTGAAGGACTTAGTGACTCAAGGGAATCCTTCTCCAACTTATGGGAAGCTCTTAGCTGCTAACTATACTTTCCGCAACAGCTCGCTTATTGATACACTAAATGAGTGCTTGCTGCAACACTTGATGAAGCAAACTGAATTTCCAAATGGGATATATTTTGTCATCCGATTCATTTTTCGCATTCTCAAAGAAGTTGACTTATAGAACTTGTTTATTCCATTCCATTCCTAAAGTCATAAATGAATTCCTAACAAGTAATTTATTTATTTAGAACAATATTTAATACCGTGATGCAACTATGATTATGGATCCTGGCTTGAATACGGGATGTGGACGACCTTAAGTTACTACCGTTGTGCCATTATAATTAACAAAAGTTGATCGATTCACTGCACTAGTGGCCATATTTGTTTTCCGGCTCTCTATTTCATAGTACTATTGTTTTGAATTAACGTTGGGTAAACCAAATAGTCAAACTTCAACTGATTCTTTTTCGGGTTAGACTTTGAGGGCAATTAAGCCATGCATGGTAGAAAGACAAAATTAATGCTGACATGAAAGTTATATTTTAAAAAGTATTAAGAAACCATCTTTGTCCCTAAACGCCTATCTCTCTGGGATCCAGCTTGAGTTACCTCAAGCCTCCTTTTGCTTATACAATGCTACATGATTTTGTACCTCTTGTCGTGTGGTATTCGTTTACAACTGCAGTTAATCAATTTGCTTTTCGGTTTTATCTTTTTCTATCTAATCAAATCGGTCAATATACTTTCTATAAAATTTCATAAACCTAATTTTACTTAATTTTGTTCTTCATTCTTCTGGCGCACCACTTATTGCATCTCTCATTCTTATTATAATGTATTGTTAATCTATTAATTATCGTACTTAATACTTTTTCTTTCGTTAAGTCATATTAATCTATTCGTATTGTGCCTAAATGAGGGCAGTTCCAGTCACGTTAATACCGATGCATATCAATCCGGCTTTAACTAGTAATTAACTGCGTCTCATTGATGAGTTAAGTCACTTATTCCTTGATCGATCTGTAATAATTAGCTATAAATGTCTGTTTCGAGTTCAATAGCGATAATTTTGTGCATTGTCCTTTTAAAAGCTCCTACTGAGCACTGTGATGAACCAGGTGATGATGGAGATTTAAAATAACAGATTTCTGAGGTTTTCAGCGTCGCATTTTCTTTCTGCTAGGTTCACTTGCATTTTATTAGTGCTATTGTATGATATGATATGATATTAGCTCTACTGAACTTCAGCACATACTTGTTTTTAATGTAAAAAGCTAAATTATAAATTTCCAGACATATATTGGTCTCACATATCACATAGTTTTTGTTACATTCCATATGTAGTCATGGCTCAACCTCGTTTGGCGCAGAGATCACGTAAGTGCGTGACTAATCTTGAGTTTTTATTTCGCGTCGCCCAATTAAGGCCTGGAACTGCATCGTCAAATCAGAAGTTCACATCGAAAACTACGACAGGGCATATCATGTAGCTAACAATCAGAAGCAAAGAGGAGAGGTCTTCAGTGAGCATAATCAAAATAAGTAGAACCATGACAATTGTGGCTTGGCACACAAGAAACTAGGACATAGGAAGTGATAGACATGGTATTACAGATAGAAACAGGAAAGACGCGGTGGACACTGGAGCTATTTGGCTAACAATAGACTTGTTTGATCATAGACGTGATCTTTGAATCATGACTATCATTAACTAACTAGATCTAGCTTCCACTGCTTCTATCCTCTTTCTATCTATAATACCACGTCTATGACTTCCTGCGTCATAGTCTCTTGTGTGCCAACCCACAAACGTTGTGGTTCTACATCGAACCTATTCAAAGTAAGCAGT